CAGGGCAGGGTGTGGTGCTCAGAGCTGTGAGCTGCTGTAGAGTTCCATCATTTCCACCACCTGCAGCAGGACCAGGGTGATGTGTGTGCAGAGGTTCCCAAATGCCGGAGGAGCAGCTGGGGGTGACCGTGGATTCCCGAGGCAGGGAGCAGGTGGATGTTGCCCTGAACTGCTCCTGAATTTGTCCCCTCTCGCTCTGAAGTGTGTGGTGTGTGCTGAAGAGGTTTTGGCTGGGTGGGAGCTGTCCTGCACGGCTGGCAGGGGAGGAGAGCTGGGTTTGGCAGTGTCAGTGGAACTGCAGCTTTGGTTTTGGCTTTGGTTGTGTTTGTTTGTCTGGATTGTGGTGGAGAGCAAGAGCCTCGCTGCCCTGCAGCCTCAGGTCCCTGGGTTTGGTCTGGAAATAATGGCACTGTGTAACTTTTCTACAAAGCTGCTTGTGAGTCAGACCAGGGCTTAGCTGGGTTTGCTTTCTGTGCTCTCACACCCTGAGATTGCAGGAGATGCTCTTGTGTTTTCTCAGCTGTCTTCTGGCTCCATGTCCTTTACCTGTAGTAGTAGTTTACATCCTCCTCCCCTCTGCAACTGGAGCATCGTGAGCTCACACTGCAAGGCTTTGGATTGGGAAAAAGCAAGGAGGTCACCTTGGGGCAAGAGTCACAGTTAAACACCAGGGGCTGGGTCAGACAGGACACAGCGCTGCTCCCTGAACTAAGCAGGGTAGAGAGCAACTCCTCCCTGTTTCCAGCACCTTGCTTTCTCCATAAACCTGGGGAGAAGGAAAAGCAGCAGTGAACTGGGTTTTCCATTCTGACATAGTTTAGTTTGGTGCTTGGATGAAGCCATGGGATGTCTTGACTAGAAACAATTCTGATTGCAATGACTTTGTGTGTGCTGGCATGTCCAGCAGAGCAGCTCTTGCTGTCTCTGCTCTGAGGGTGCTGGTCCTGGTTAAAGCTGTGCCAGGAGGGAAGGAAAGTGGCCCCTGAGCTGGGTAAAAGCCTGGAAGGGACTGGAGAGCCAGGAGTGTATTTAGTCCTGGCAAACCCACTACACTCTCTGGATCCAGAGCCTGGAGCTGACAGAACCCAACCTGCAGCAGCAGCAGCAGCTTGTCTGTTGGACTCTGTACCCTGGAGAAATCCATGGAGCAGAGCTGCTGCAATACTCCAAAGGTTTCCCTGCTGGGACTGGTGCTTCTGAACTGTTGCATTTTTTTGCTTCATATAATTTCAACCCAGCACAGCCTGTCCTGCCCCTGGGGCCTTGCCAGGACTGTGCCTGCCTGGCACCATCCTCTGGAAACATTTCTAACCTGCTCGGGGCTGCTGTAGGTGCAGGGCCAGTGCTGGTGGGTTCTGCTGTGGGGCACTGGCTCCCATCTCAGTCCCTGCACACAGGCTGAAGGTGAGCTTGGTCCTTCAGCAGGTTTTGAGGCTGCTGAGATCCTCCCACACACGATGCTGTTCATGTGGCAGGTGCAGGGATCTCTGCTTAGAGTCTATGGTGTCTTCCCTAAACTGTTTTCTCTTGAAAACAGTTTCTCTCTTCACTCTGCTGTGAGATCTCCTGGGCAGCAGCAGCTCCAGCCCTCCTGTCCCCTCTGCTCACTTTCCTTCCCACCACGCCCGGCACAGCCATTTCCCCTTCCCAGGGTAGAGGATTCCTCGGGACTCTGTCCTGCTTTTTCCAACACAGTTTGTAGCACAAACTGAACCCTGGCACTGTGTTATGGTGCTGCCTCAGACCCGCTGGTACAGGGGAATTTCCAGCTCCTTCCAGATGTGAAATGGCAAATTTAAATATTGCAATTACAGACGTGTAACGAAGTCTTGTACTTCATTAATGTAAGAGGAGGAATATACTACGGCTACAAGGACAATTAAATATTAGAGAATGCCTTTGATTCACATTCCTGCTGTGTAAATGGGAGGAAGGTTGCTGTATGCGCCTTGCCTTTGCGCTCACAAAATGAAAAGCACACCCACTGCAAGTTGTCCTTTGATAGATTTTTAATATGATTTTAAAGAGTTTTGTTTGGCCTCATTCTTATTCAATGAGATTAATTTAAAGCACTTATCCCCTGGGTTTAAGTCAATCCATGTAGGATTTGGGACGGGGGTTGTTGCCCAGGGAGGGGGTTGTTTGCAGGCCTCTCTGAAAGACTCCTTTCCCACTTCATTAACCCCGAGCTCGGAGCGACCCCCCTTCCTCCTCCTCCTCCTCGCCCAGCCGAGGCCCGGGGATTTACCAAACCCCCCCATTCACATGCAAAGAAGCAGCCCCATCCACAAAGGCCGGGGGCTCTCGCCCCCAGGCGTGGCTGTGCATTTGGCCGAGCCGACAATCGCCCTCCCCGAGCGGCTCCGGCGGGAGCGGGCAAAGCTCCGGGGACGGAGCCGGCCCCGGGGCATCGCGCTGGGACCCGGCCCGGGGAGCCGCCGAGGGGCTCGGGAGGGGCACTGGGTGCTGGGGGGCTCCGCAGAC